ATAGATCGTGGCGCCTGGACCCAAGATGTGGCCCAGGGACTTGGCGAACGGAACCGCGTCCATCTGCTCCCAGCCAGGCAGCTCCTTTGCGAGCCACTCCTTGATATTTGCTGCCAGCTCCTCGGAGAATGCGGCGTTCAAGGGCGCGACCTTGCGCTTGGCCGGCTTCGAGGTCAGCCCCGCCAAGGCCTGCGCCGCGGTGAAGACCCTGCGCAGGCGGAGCAGAAGCCTGCGATCCTGCAGGGCCGTGCCTACGTCGTCCGCACAGACGCCCACCACGGAGGTCCCCCAATGCTCTAGGATGTGCCCCATGTGAGCCACGAAGGAGTTCATGGCTACAGCCCACAGGGACCCTGAGAGCGGGCAGCCCTGAGCGATGCCCGCCGTGACCGGCATGAAGCGACGCAGCTCACCCTCCATGGATACGAAGGCCTGTGGCAGCCAGTACATGCCCATGATGAGCTGGTAGAGGCCGCCCTGGAAGCCCGCCCGCAGCAGCGCCGCACGCAGGAAGGAGACGGCCACGGAGGGGAATGCGTTGCCGAAGTCGAAGAGGACCATCATCGGCATGCGCTGGTCCCTGGTGGAGGAGAAGCCCACTCGACGAGCGGCGGTGTCGAGCAAGGTGATGTTGTCCAGGAAGTTGCGCCCAGACAGGAAACCCCTCTGAGAGAGGGGGGGAGTGGCGCTCGATGTCGAACTTGATGAGATAATTCACGCTGGCGGCTAGCAGCTTTACATCCGTGTTCTTGAGGGCCAGAGGTCTCGTCGTGGATGGCGTCCGAGTCGGGCCCGATACCAGATCGTCGGCCTCGGCACCTTTGGGCAGGAAAAACATCAGGTGGTCGTTGAGGTCAGGAGGTGGCGGGAAGCCCTGCGCGACCTCGAGCCCCACCTGCGCCGGGTCTTCCAGAGGACGCGATGACCCGCAGCGGCTCCAAGCATCATGCGGCAGCCCGTCTGGTCCTGGCGCCGAGGCGCGAGCCCTCCGCGCCGCTCGCTGAAGATCGCGAGAGTCAGGAAGACGAATGTCCTCGAGGCCATCAATCACCACGGGATGCTCGTCCAAATAGCGTCGCACAAGGGGGTGTTCGGCAAGATCGCGCTGGAATATCGGCGACCAGTGCTTGCGCAGCTCTTCGAACACGTCTGCCTGAGCATTCACGATTCTCTCCGCACCCTGTCCCAGGCCATGTGAGCCAACAGAATCAGGAAGACGCAATCCCTGAAGTTTGAGTGTGCGCTTGAATGGGGTCCAGAGTGCAGCCCTCCGCCTGGTGGCCCGCCCCATGGCAATGATGTTCTTAAACGAAGTGCCGTCAGGAGGAGCTGCCTGGGCCCGACGATCGAGATCAGCGAGGCGACGTTCGGAGTAGATGTTCTGCTCAGCCGCGAAAGGCTCGGCGAAGTCCGAAGGGTTCGAGAGGGAGACCGAGGTGCAGGTGATCATGAGGTGCTCGGCAGCGAGCGGTGACGATGCAATCGGGCGCTCCGCCAGCTTGAGATCGCCCCTCCAGACCGCTCTGGCGATCGAGCGGAAGATGAGTAACTTCGAGTCGTTATCGTGAGCCCCGTGCTTGAAGATACTGCCCCGAACACGACGAGCTGCTTCCCGCATGAGTCTCTTATGCTCAGGTCTTCGCTGGTAAGGGTGAAGAACGTGCCACTGAACATGTTTAGCCATGAGCTGGTACTGCCTCGCATACTCGGGGCTCTTGAAAATGTATCGTGGGATCGGTTGCGTCTCGCTGCCCATCGGCGGCCGGCCAGCAAAGGCAACCGCAATCGGCGCGTGGTCACTGAGGCCAATTTCATGCATTCGTTCAGGAAGATCACGCGTCGAGAGCGTGACGTGCCACTGCATCGCCAGCCGCGATGGAGAAGCCAAGAACGCTCTGCCAATCTGCGACAGCTTCGGCGGCGAACCATCCTCTTGCCAGAAGTGCGCGGGGAGCTCATTGTCAAGCTCGACGAAGCCAAAGAAAATAGCATTCCAGCGGCGCACCAGCGGCCGAGGCACAGCGTCGTCCGTGCGCACGAGGCCCTTGTTGATGAGGGGAGTCTGAACCAGCAGGGGCGGCGCCGCCAGAATGTTGAAGTCACCGAGCAACAGCAGCGTGACCATCTTCGGCGCCGACTGGGCCATAGCGATGTCAGCGCGAATCCGATCTTCGATCTTTGTCATCTCGTCGCCACTGATGCCGAAGTTGTGGACGTTATAGATAATGAGAGATGGGGAAGGGGAGTCCGATGCGGGGCCTGAGACACGGAGTCGCTGAACACGACCAGTGACAATAATCTCGTGTGAGCACCTGGGGTCATGAGTAGCTGCGAAGCGCCCAGGCAGAAGGATACCAGTTCCGCCAGTGTCACGCCTGTCGCCGAAGTTCATGAAGATCTGAGCGTGGACATGATGGCGGTGATGTTCTTGCTCAAATTCAATTGCATTGCCGTGCGCCTCCTGTAGGCGCATCGCTGTGCCCTGTCCGAGGTATGATTGCAGGTGACGAAACTTGCGGTCCCCCGTGGTAGCATCATGATGCGCAAGCGCACGAGCGTTCCAGGATCCGATCGCCGCGCACTCGCGGAACTCGCCAGGATCTCGCCAGGGAGCGAAACGAGTGCTAAATAGCCCACTGGACCTTCTCGGCGGAGCCGAAGACTGCATATATATATATATATATGACTTCGCAACGTGCTTCGGGGTGGGGCGATTGAACTCAATCGGAACCTTGCGGGGAAGAAACGACGCCACCAGAGAAGCATGGTCACTCACCTTGCCTCTGGATAACTCCTCAGGGTTGCCCACAACGCGCGCGCGCGAATATGCTTGCGCAATCGTCCAGCTAGGCCGCGATCACCAAACTTTATCAATCGCAGCAACGGCATCCGCCTGTTTATCGACATGAGTGGCAGCAACGGGCGACATCTCAATGAGCGTAGCAAGAGTGCCGCGCCATGTCGGAGCCTGCGCGTGCAGAGGCCGGCCTCCGATGGCTGCGCGAAGCTCGGTCTTCCCTCGGACGCAAAGTCAAAATCACCCGTGGCAGCTGTTAACCAGCCCTCATGATGAGCTTCTGATTCGGTCCGATCCCTGGATGTAAGATTGCGCGCGCCCCGAACGCGAGCTGCCGTGAGCTCATGATGGTGAACATTCCCATGAATTATCACTGTGTTTTCGCTGGCAATCACGCGGCCCTCGCCGCAGAGGCTCGAAGGAACCAGAGCACCCGGGGGAATTCTTTGCAAGAAGATTCGGAGCTGCGTCTCGTTTTGGTGCACCTCTTGAAACGACGCGACAGAGGAGCCAAGGCGCAGCCTGGTCAAGCACCCAAGCTTCTCAGCTGCACGGGCTCCCTCATGTCGGAGAAACGCCGGGCAATTCCACGTCGTGAAATTGATGCCACCAACCAGGCTCATGTCGCAGAGCACCGGCGAAGTCTACCTCGACAGCAGCTTTGCAAAACTGCGAAAGACACCACTCTGGCTCAGCATCAGGCTCAAAAGATCGAGCTGGCCCATGAAACGAGGTCGGGCTTAGATGAGCCCAGCTTGCGGATCGTCGCCTGGTTCCACGTGGCGTCGGCCTTCTCCTTGCCCTGGTTCGGTTCGATCTTGCGCGGCGCGTCCCAGCCGATGGATACCTGCCTGCGATCGCGATCGAAGAGAACTTTGTGGCCGCGCAGCCCTGTCTGCAGCGCCATCTTCGTCTTGCGGCCGAGGATATCCAGCTTGATCTGGCGCGTGTTCTTGTCCTGAGACACGCGATGACGAACTTCTCCTCCGCCGCCATGGGCTGCCGCGGCAAATTGACGCCAGACACCGTCGCTGCCACGGAACGATTGCAGCGCCTGGCCCACCCGGCGGGCAGCATGGCCAGCAGCTCCCGTGAACTTTAAAATGAACTGCTTTGAGTGGCGGTCGGCAGACTGGGGCTCGTACTTCTCAGCGCCAAGGCCAGACTCAGACAACCAGGGAGCGAGAACGGAAAATACATCTGCCTTAGACACCAGTTGCCCCGCTGCCACACGCATGATCGTGCCGCCCGTGTCCCCGTCGAACTGTGTAGAACGAATTTGAACGGGGCGCGATGGCTGCGAGTTAGCTACCACCAAGGCTTCCTCAAGCTTCCTGGTCTGAGCGGCCATCTGTGCAAGTAGCTCATCGTGTCCATTGACGCGGGTGGTCTGCTGCTGCAACTGTGCATGCACATCGATCCGCCCCGTGAGTTCACGCCGCAGATCAACAATGCGCGGCGCAACGGCAGCGGTGATGCGCGCATCGAGCTTGGTGCCAATCTTCTGGAAGTCATCTTGGCACTTCTTGAGGCACTCGTCAAAGTTATTCGTGAAGGCTTCCGTGATAGACTTTGCCTCCGCTTGGACTGTGGACGTGACCGTGGACGATGCCAGAGACTCGAACTGAACCTGCATAGCTGCCACTTCTTCTTTGAGCAAGCCAGCACAAGTGGTGCGGATCGGATCATCGGACATTTCCTCATCCGAATCGCTGCCAAGCTTGTGCATCTCGGGGCCGCTGCCTGAATACGTCGCAACGGGCGATGACGCTCCACTGCCGGCAGAGCGAAACTGAAGACGAGCACTGCGAGGAGTGGTCTTAGGAGCCGTCTTGATGACTTTCTTCGCTGCGTCGATCATTCGAGGCCATCCCAGCAGCAACAACACGAAGCGACATATATGGGGAAGCTACTGCAGGTGTGGGGGCCCAGATCCCACAGTGAAGGCCTTTTTTTACACACAGCCAGGCAAAACTGCGTTGTTCTGCCGCGGATTAGCGGTATCCCTGCTGGCACAAAGGCGCGGAGCCCCCAGAGTGCAGGCATCTTGAGCCACAATGGCTATGGAGGAGGAGGAGGAGGAGGAAGAGGAGGAGGAGGAGGGGGAGGAGGAGGAAGAGGAGGAGGAGGAGGAGGGGGAGAAAAAAACCAAAACTGGACAAGGCATATGCTCTCGGAGATCCCCCAGCACGTGCGGCCGAGCCTCCTGCGGCTCGCCCACCTCCGCGTCCGCCAGGCCCGAGGCCTGGGCGTCGTGCCCGCTGGGCACGGATGCGCTTGGGCGCGTGCCTCCGCCGAACATGGACTGAAACATCGAGCCCCTGCTGGGCGTGGCCGAGCCCACGGATTCCAGCCTCAAGGTGCAGGCGCAAACTTTTGGAAGTGCGCACGGATTTCCTGGATCGGCGCTGGACCCCGTCCCTGGCACGCAGAGCGCGCCAGGGGCGGCCCCGGAGGCGCCGCCAGGGGACTCCAACACCGACAAGAGATATCCACGGGACCTCTGGCAGCTTATGCTTGTGCAGAATCCCACCAGCCCTTTGGGCGTGAGTGGTTTAGAGAGCCCGCTCTGTCCTCACCCCCCCTTCTTCCCCTTCGGGGAGGGGTTTACCCCTCCCCCTACCCCCTCCCCCTGGGTCTGGAGAGGGCGGGCCGCGGGTGGTTGGAGGGGTCTTTTTCGACTCCTGGGAGGGCCAAAAAACGACGACCCTCACGAGGATTCTGGCCCCGACGGGGGGATCCAGAAAAAACCCTCTCCTCTGCTGTGAAGCCAAAATCATTGATTTTACTACGGTTTTGGCCCCATGTTGGCCTTCTGAGGGGGCCGCGCTCATCTTCCCTCATAGCAAAATCATTGATTGTACGAAGGTTTTGGGCTCATTTTGTCCATCCCAGGGGGCAGCGCTCATCTGCGCTTCTGAGGAGGTCCCAAAAGGCCCCAAGATGGCCCCCAGGAGGCTCCCAAGAGGCCTCCAAGAGGCCCCCAAGAGGCTCCCAAGAGGCAAGAGGCCCCAAGAGGTCCCCAAGAGGCCTCCAAGAGGCGCCCAAGAGGCCCCCAGAGGCTCCAAGAGGCCCCCAAGAGGCCCCCAAGAGGCCCCCAAGAGGCCCCCAAGAGGCCCCCAAGCTCCAAGAGGCCCCCAAGAGGCCCCACGAGGAGCCCGAACGACTCACACCAGGACGAGAGACCCCAACGACTCACACCACGAGGAGCCCGAACGACTCACACCACAAGGAAGGGCCCGAACGACTCACACCAGGACGAGGCGCCCGAACGACTCACACCACGAGGAGCCCGAACGACTCACACCACGACGCGGGCCCCGAACGACTCACACCACGAGGAGCCCGAACGAGTCACACCAGGAGGAGGGGCCCGAACGACTCACACCAGGATGAGGGGCCCGAACAACTCACACCACGAGAAGCCCGAACGACTCACACCAGGACGAAGAGCCCGAACGACTCACACCACGAAGAGCCCGAACGACTCACACCAGGAAGAAGGGCCCGAACGACTCACACCAGGACGAGAAACCCCAAACGACTCAAATCACGAGGAGCGCTTTCTCTCCCTCCTCCTCCGCCTCGTCCTTCTCCCGCTCCCCCCACAAGGAGGATGTACAAGGAGGCGGGAGGAACAAGGAACAGGGGAGATATGCGGGGCCAAGCGGACACACGCCTGAAAAACACGACTGTCGGCATGCTTCGCAAGAGTTGCTGCTGTGAGATGGGCTGGTGGGGATACGCGAAGCGTAAAGAGTTTTCTTCTTCGAAGCCTGCCGTGCTGGTCCGGCAGGTCCTTGGACTTCGGGGCCTGGACGTCGCCCTTCGGCTCCCTGCTGCCCCTGCTGCCGAACGGCATTGGCGGATCTCTTCTGTGCGCGCGCGTCCAGTGGGTGGGGGGGTCGACGCCCGCGGCGAGGGAGCAGCCACCGCTCTGCCCTTCTCGCTGGCCCTCTGGGGAGGGGGAGCCAAAATTGAGGCCGCCCAGATGGGGTCGAAACAAATGAGGTCCGGTCGGGAGATCCCACCGCATCGGCAGCAGGAATATCAAGCTCCAGATCTGGCCTCATCGGCGATGCATCGGCGATGCGGCGCGATCTTCCGACTCCACCTGCTCCGACCCCGTCTGGGCGGCCGGGACGAACGGGACGGGGGGCTGTGGGCGCCGCTCACGGCACTGGGGCTACTGTAGGGTGATGATCGCAGTGCGACCAGGTCATAGGGATGCGCGGTGGGGATGCAAGGCTCTTGGACGTCCAAGTTGAAGCCGAAGTTGGAAGCCCAGGCAAATGGCTGAAGGCAAAGGGCTAGAATGGGCCGGCAGGCAAGAACTCGAGTGCACACTTGTGATGCGGCTTAAAAGCTGGGCGATTACTCAACCCCCACATAAGAGTGAGGGGGACGAGGGAGGACACCAGCAGGTAAAGGCTCGAAAGCAAGTATGGTGAAGCCCATCGCAGGGTCCCTCCATTCGGCTTCAGCGCATGGTCTCCCCGTATGGTCCCCTCGTATGACCCCCCGCATTGTCCCTTCGTATGGTCCTCTTCTTTGGTCCCCCGTATGGTCCCCTCGTATGATCCCCCCGGGTGGTCCCCTGATGGTCCCCCCGTATGGCTCCCCCATTTGGTCCCCTCGCATGGTCCCCCCATATGGTCCCCTCGTCTGGTCTCGCCGTATGGTTCCACCATATCGTCCCCCCGTATGCCCCCGCCCATTTGGTCCCTTCGCATGGTCCCCCCATATGGTCCCCTCGTATGGTCCCGCCGTATGGTTCCACCGTATGGTCCCCTCGTATGGTCCCGCCAATTGGTCACCTCGCATGGTTCCCCCACATGGTCCCCTCGTATGGTCCCGCCGTATGGTTCCACCGTATGGTCCCCTCGTATGGTCCCGCCAATTGGTCCCTCGCATGGTCCCCCCACATGGTCCCCTCGTATGGTCCCTACCTGTTTCATCGTCCCTCATGTTTTTTTTTTTTCCCCCAATTGCTATCCTACATCATTATGCATGCCTTCGCCCGACACATGGCGCACATAATTTGCTGAACGTCTCACGCTCGCAGACCTCTTCGAAGGATGTCCACCAGACTGTTCGGGGGTGGCGGTTGCGAACGTAGTACTTCTGGTGGTCAGTTTCCTGCCACCGTGACTGGCCCAGGGGGCGCAGATCGACGATACATCGCCGACCGCTCGGCGAAAGGCCCCCGATACCAAAACAGCGCGTTCCTGGATAGGGTGGGGCATCCAGGCCCCCATCCGCGCTGAATGGGTGACCCGGGGTGGACTCATGCCTCCATCGGATTGTTTGTTTCAATCCGAGGTCTCATGCTTGTCTGCGGTCACCGCGTCTTCCAGCCTCACAACCCTGTGAAGCATCACTGTCTCCTTGAGCCAGGAAGAATGTACCGGCAGACGTGAGGAGAGACGCAGAGCAGCGGGAGGAGCGCAGCATCAAATGAGAAGAACGCGGCAAACAGAACGGGCCCCAGAGCTTGCGACCCGCTCCCCGGATCGTCTTCTGACGGCCCAGGGGCCTGGATGGCGAATATCGGTCGAAGCAAATTGGTACCACGCGCATGCATCGATCACTGATCCTTGGCCCAGAGGTGGGCCTGGCCAACATCGGCGTATGTGAACTATCTGAACTGTTTGGATAAGCATACGGAGCATTTTCTGGGGCCGCTGCAAGTCTGGGACCTCGGGAACCCCAGGCCCCCAGAGGTCCAACATTGGCCAGAGAGTTCCCGAAACTGCAATCCCCGAACCTCGCCTTTCCGAGGCACTCGCGCCTCTCTAGTCATCGTGCCACTGCGCTACACGAAGGACGCTATACAAAAGAACGAAGGGATGTTCCTGGCCACGGCGAGCCTCGGCCACGAATGGGTTCCCCGTCCGAACCTCAGGGACGGGCCGGAAACCAGAGCCCCTCCAGGAACCGAAGTTGTCAATGCTTCGATGTCTTGACGGTCTAATGTTAAGAACAACGTCGACATCAACTTCTGGAGGTCACTGGAGGTCCTCGTGGATCTCTTGGGCCGGCGCTGACCCCCCCATCCCCAGCGCGCAAAGCGCGCCATTGGCGCTGCCAGTGGGGCCCAGCGCCGACCCAAGGAATCCACGCGGACTTGTACGCGGGGATGCTGGAAAGCACATGCTCGCGGAAACGTGGTCCCAACCACTCAGTAGTGCTGGGTCCTCGTTGTTGATCAATAGCGCCCCGTGTCTCCTTCCCTCCTTCCTTCCTTCATTCCTTCCCTCCACTCTCTCCCTCCTCCTCCTCCTCCTCCTCCTCCTCCACCTCGTCCTTTTCCTCCTCATCTCCCTGCCTCTGCTCTCATCTGCCCGCTCCTCACACGCTTCGTGGCTCCATACGGAGCTCCACCGAAGGTTCCAGTGGGAAAGTCCGCGGGTGTCCCAGCCGCCCATTTTTGCACACCCTTCGCACGCTTCGTGGCCCCAGAGGGAGCTCGACCGAATGCCCAAAGAGGAAATTCCGAATGCGTCCCAGCCGCCCTTGTCGCCACACCCTTCACGCGTTTCCTGGCCCCAGCTCCACCGACGGCCCCAGTGGGACAGGGCGCAGGGCGTCCACCCGCCCATTTCAGCACACTCTTCACCCGCTTCGTGGCCCCAAAGGTAGCTCTATAGAATGCGATACTGCAACTGCAGTGCTCACAACTGCACATGGTTGTTCCCTTCGCCAGGGCCGCTTCTCGCGGATCTGGTTTCGCTAGAGGGTTCCCATAATGGTTGTAAATGGAGAAAAGCCCCGCAAAAAGGACGGGGAGACCTAGACCACCTGGTCCTGCAATCGGTCCGGCAACAATTTCGCTTAACATCCCTTACGACGCATTCAGGAATCGTGCTCTCGCCTCAATGCCGGCTCAAGTTTTGATCTGGACGACCACGGTCCCTGGCAACACATACGCTCATGTGCACATGGACGTGCTCTCACCCCTGTCCCCTACAGCAAACCTCCTACATCTCGACCCGCCTTCATTAGGGTGCTTTGCCAGGGTAACTGCTGTTTTTGGTTGGTGTCCTTGGATCCGCGCGGACCTGGACGTGTGTTTTTGCCCGCATTGCCTCGTCCAGTGTTTTTTGTCCGCACCCCTCGGCTACGCGCAAGAGTGACCCCTGGCAAAACAGGCCTCTGGTGCGCGGCTTCTGGGGGGCGCGGGGAGGACAAACACAAGCGCACAGGCCGCTGCTGTCGCAACGCACTCAACGATGGGGAGACCCCAACGGGTGCGCACCAAAGGTTGCTCTGGCGAGGGGCTATCCATCAGTTTAGCGGAATCCCCACGCCCAGACTCCCACTGCGTTCCCACCCACCCCCTGGGACTTGAGGATATCTATATCGATATAAATATATACACAAATGCGCCACGAAAATATACACTGGCACCCTCCGACGAACGTTGCTACCTTCAGGGAGGGCGGCGGTGTATAGAGCCGCTGGCTGTGAATGGTGATTCTACGCCGCCACCACCCCTTTGGCCTCGAAGCGATCTAGTGGAAGGTGGCAGTGAAATCTTCCTGTGGCGGAAAAGAAGCTTTCGTGCCGCTCGGCGCCTAGAGGCCCCCGCGCGCGGCGTCGGCGCCTCCTCACGCGCCCATGGCTGCGGCAGACCCCGGCCTTGAACCCAAATGGCTGATCGCGGCAGATTCGTGTCGCTTCGCGCCGCGTGGCGCGCGAAGCTTCGCCGCGCGCCGCTGGCGACGATGCCGGTTACTTTCGCGGCCTCGCGCCGTCCCTATGAGAGCAGCGGCTTTCCGGCCCAGATCGCGAAGCGCGAGGAGCGGCAATTTCGCACCTCCACGGGTTGACCAGGGCCACTCCCGATGTCATTTTAAGAAGGGGGTCGCAGGCCCCCAAGAAACACATTCTTAGGCCCCGCCGAGCTAGCCATGAAAGAGCAGCCTGTTGACCTGACCCCCGGAACTCTCCAGGACAGCTCAAATCAGACCCCCACCCCCGAATCAGACCACCCACTTTTTATTTTGAAATCTGGGCTACCGTCGAAGGATTAGATGTCTCTGACGGGCGTCGCTGCCGGGGACGGCGGCGGAAGGCGGACACACCTACACGTCCGAGCGCGCCGAACGGGGGGGGTCACGGCAAGAGCACGCGGGGCGCGAAGGACGGAGGAGGGAGGGAGGAGGGAGACAGGGGACAACTTATTTGCCAGAGGATCAAAACATTCAGACACAATGATTGGTGTACTGCATTGCGGCACTACCGTCACTTGATCCACTAGCCAGCAGGGCCGCTGGCACCCGCCCGCCTTATGCTCCGCGTCCTGCCCAGGGCCGAGCCGCAGAGCTGCAGGCGTCCTGCCACCACCCCAGCCGCCAGCACGACGCACGAGCCCCCCACCAGGGCAGCTGATGCAACGCCTGCGTCATCGGGGCCTGGTTGCGGCGGCGGGGGGCGCCCCGTCGTGCACGCCGCTCAGCGGTCAAGCCCTTGTCCCCCGGCCGCCATACGGGGCTTCGCAGACCTGGACCTTTCTCCCATGCGGGGCACAGAGAGACGTGGCAGATCGCCTGCTGACCACCCCATCCTTCGCATCAGGCGCTTTGCGCCAGGGGGTGGTTGTTTCAACATCCCCTCTCCTGTCCCCCAAGGGTTGCAACACCGCCAAGAGTGCGTTGGCGGCCTAGGCTACCGCAGTAGACGGCTGTCGACGGGACTCCCGCTGACTTGTCCGATATCTCTCCCTTTCTCGCTCTCTCGTTCTCTCGTGTTCTCTCTCTCTCGCGCGCTCTCTCTCTCTCTCTCTCTGTCTCGCTCTTCTCTCCCCCTCTCTCTTGTTCTTCTCTCCTTCTATCTCTCTCTCTCTCTCTCTTTCTCCCTGTCCCTGACGCTTTCTCACACTCGCTGCCGCTCTCCGCGGCCACCCTGGCCCCCGCGCGTCGCGTCCTCCTTGCTGTTGATCCACCGCACGATCAGGACACTGTCCCCGCTGTTGCGGTTCCGTGCCTGGGGGGGGGGGTCCACGGGGCCCTTCGTGCTCATTGTCTTGAAGAACAGCAGGCGCCCGATGGAGGAGGGAGGGAAGGAGGCAGGGAGAGGAGGGAGGGAGAGGAGGGAGGGATGGAGGGGAGGATGGAAGGAGGGGGGACGAGGGATGGAGGGAGGGAGGGAGGGAGGAGGGAGAGGAGGGAGGGAGTGAAGGAGGATGGAAGGGAGGGGCGGGGACGGAGGGAGGGAGAAAGGGAGCCACGGAGGGAGGGAGCACGTAGTAGAAGTAGCCCCAGCAGCGGCAGCAGCAGCAACAAAAGTAGTCGTCGTCGTCGTCGTCGTCGCCGCCGCCGCCGCCGCCGCCGCCGCCGTCGTCGTCGTCGTCGTCGTCGTCGTCGTCGTCGTCGTCGTCGTCGTCGTCGTCGTCGTCGTCGTCGTCGTCGTCGTCGTCGTCGTCGTCAGT